CTCGTGTAGGACGATACGAGAGGGTGGTGACGAAAAGCTTAGAGGACACTGATTGGAAAATCGCAATCTTCGAGAAAAACCAATCAGTGCGTCCCGGCGTGGAGGTGGAGGTTCCTTCAGGGATCTCAAACGGGGGTGACCGATATAAAATAACGCGACCAGTCGGGGCGCGGACAGTAAAACGCAGAAAAACATAGTCTTCAACAATCATTCGACACCACACAGACCGAAAACACTCCATGTACTATATCTAGTCTTCTAAATTAAAATCGTTATTTCTGTTAAAAAGTGCAACAGTCAATACCCTTCATTACCAGCTCTGTTACTTTAAGTGGGCACAGAGCATCGCGAACCACATTGTCAAATTAGAATCGGGAATTTACAACCCACGTAGACCGAACAACGGTCGCAGTGTCGGTGCGCGAAAAACAGAAACACAACGTTAAGCTTCGTCAATCTACAACGCTAAACAAAGTAATACAACCTAAAGCAACGTAACCAATGTAAAATAATACAAAACAACGTTAAAGCAATATATAACAACGTAAAACAACGTAATACTGTTTTAAACACCAACGCGAAACAAAGCAAATAACGTAAAGCATCGTAAAACAACGTAAATTATTAATGCAATGTAAAATAATGTAATACAACGTAAAAAAATGTCTGACAATCCACAGCAACGTAATACTGTTTTTAACAACAACGTGAGACAAAAAAAAAGTGAAGCAACGTGAAACAACGTAAAGAACCGTAAAAACAAAGTAAAACAACGTAAATCATCAATGGGAAACAAAGCAAAATAACGTAATACAACGTACAGCAATGTAAAACAATATAAAACAACTAAAAAACAATATTGTTGTCGTTTAAAACAGTATTACGTTGTTCTACGTTGTTATCCATTGTTTTTACGGTGTTTGATATTCTTTTACATTGTTTTACGTTGTGTTGCGTTATTTTTCTTTAGGTCGCATTGATGATTTACGTTGTTTTACTTTGTTTTCACGTATTTTTACGTTGTTTTAGC